TGAATTATTACCACAGCTCACCCAGCTTCCACCTCATTCTTAACCCAAACTGTTCTTCACACTAAAGACAGAATTCTCTCTGTAAAACACAAATTATATGTCTCTCCACTATTAAAAAAAACACAAACCTTTTAAGTATACATCTGCTTTCCTTCTGTTGTTGATTTCTAACTTCAACCCATGGTTGTTGGAGAAGACATTTCTTCTATGATGTCTACATTCTTAAATCTACCAAGACCTAAGTTGTGACAGCTATGGCTTGGATATAGCTTGTCCCCTAAAAATTCCTGGGCTGGAAGCCTGATCCTCAATGTAACAGCAACAGTACTGAAAGCCGGAAAATCGTCAAGAGGGTCCTAGGGAAGATGACTGGGTCTCAAGGGCCCTACCGTCAAGAAGGGACTAATGCAGGTCTCACAGGAGATGGAGTTATTGTAAAAGAGCAATCCTGCCTCCTCCGGGTCTTGTTTCTGCTTCTCTCTCATCATGTGACCCCCCCCTTCTTTTCCTCCTCCTTTTCCTCTCTCCCCCATCCTCTACCACTCTTTCCTTCCCCATCTCTCTCCTTCCTCTCCTCTCCCTTCCTCCCTCTCTCTTTCCCTCCCCCTCCCTCTTGCCTTATAACACATTTCTCTCCTCTGACCCCAAAGCTTTCTTTTGACATACCATGTTTTTGACAGTATGGGTTTGGGGGAGGTTGGAAGGCATCTAATAGCAACCTAAATTAAAATAGATCCCTATGTAGGAATTATGGATACCTAAAGCCACTTTGGTGGTTACTATTTTGAATCCTGATTTGTGTTTCACAAAAGAATTCCTTTAAACTGGCCAATCTTGAAGCCTATCTGCCCTTTCCTTCTCAATTTTACAGTCCGAAAAATTGTTTCTGCCATTTTGTTTTTCATTAATGAGTCAGAAGCAGCAAGTTTCTTGACTGTCTACTTCTGCCAGATGGAAAGAAGTATTCAATAAGAACAGTCACATACAGAGATAGATATAAGGCGTCACATACTATAAATTATTTTCCTTACTCCACATTCCAACCTTCTGAATTATTAACACAAATGAGGGAACTGTATCTTTTACCAATTAACCTTCTGACCCAGTTTAATTTAAGCAGTAAAAATATCATTAAAACTTGGATTATATGACAAACTCTAGTATTGTGCCCTACTACTAATACCCTCCAAAGCAGTTTTCATTAACCTTAAGTGATAAAATCACCCCATTTTTCCACCTAACTGAGCACATTTTTATACTGTTTGAAAATATCATAAAAGACATGTTTTTAAAGTGGTCATCCATCCAAATCTCCTCACCTTTAATATTCTTATTTCAGCAATGGTAAAACAATATGGAATCCCTGGCAGATCCAAAATTACCACCCACCTATGCTAACACACCTAAGCTCTCACAGTCCTTAATGTCTTTACCATACACTGAGAAGGAAGCAGAATGTAACCCTACTGCACTCAGGAGGTGGGACCTGGAGACAACCAACTTTCCAAAAGATGTATCTGAGTTTTCCTTAGGAAAGAGGGAAGAATAAATGTAACCTTATACATCCCAAATAATTTAGTTGGTAAAGACTTAAATCAAATGAAAAATGTGCAATAATTACCTTCACAAAGAGCTACAAAAATTTTAATGTGAAAGGCCAGAAAGTTAAGAATTTTTAGGTTTTGAGGCTGTATGGTCTCTTAGCAAAATTATACAGCTGCTTAATTTTGTACTGCAGAAAAGCAGCTACAGACAATCTGTGAGGGAGTGGTCCTTCTGCTCTCCAGTCCACTCTACAATACACACAGAGGGATGGGGTGGGCCTGCCAGCGATAGTTTACAAACCCCTGATCTGTACCATCTTGAGCCCACTTCCTAATCCAGATGAAAAAAGTGCAGGATTATAGAATGTGGTAATTAGAGAACAAAACACAATGTTCTCTTTATTCTTCAGTTAACTCCAACATTTTTAGTAAACTGGATTTTGGAAAATCAACATTTGTGGGCGTGTGACGACACTTGTAATCCCAGCACTTGGGGGGCTGAGGCAGGAGAATTGTAAGTTCAGGGGCCACCCTGAGGTACCCTGAGCTACATAGTGAGCTCCAGGCAGTCTCAAAAAATAAAACAAAGCGAGACCTTGTCCCCAGAAATAAAACAAACAAAAATCTTAATTATTATTGTTTTTAGTGTGATAAAAGGTATGGCAAAGTATTTTTTAAAAGCCCTTATCTTTTAGGATACATACTAAAATATTTGCTGATGAAATAATACATCTGGATGTGCTTTATATAGTGCAGTATAAGGAAAGGCAAATAAAGGGTACAGATAAGACAAAACTGGTCATGGATAATAACTGAAATGGGGTGACTAGTACACGAGATTCATTACACTATTCTTTCTACTTTTATAAATGTTAAAAATTTCCAATAATACATAGATTAATAAAAACAAAATCATTTTATAAATAACAGCAAATGGTGAATCACAAATGTAAGTGCATCTATACAATTAGCTATTTTCTCAGTGTCAGCACTACTGCCACTCTAGGCAGATGAGTCCTTACTCGGCGCCATACTGGCACCCGCAGGGGCCTTAGGAGCACCTTCTCCTCCCTCGAGAGACGCACAGTCAACCTTCAACCCCACCCCATGGAACAAAGCCCTCTCTAGACATTTCCAAAGGTTCCCTGTGGGGAAACACTGCCCCCTCCCAGAACTGAGAATCAATGTTTTAAACAAACAGTATCCCTGTTTAACAGACAAGACTCTTATATCCTAGAAAAATGAGAGATTTTCACTTTAATCCTAGGCTATATGTTGTGTTTTTATTTTTAATTCAATTTGGGGGGTGTACCAGGGATCAAACTCGGGACCTTGCACTTGCAAGGCAGGCAGTGGCACTACTGAGCTAAATCCCCAGCCCTTTTAATTCAATTTTTAAACACAGTTTTTCTTTTTTTTGGTACCGGGGATCAAACTCAGGTCCTTGCACTTGCGCAGCAGGCAGCAAAACCACTGAGATAAATCCCCGGCCCTTTTCTTTATCAACTGAATACAAACTGTCATTAAATTTAACTTGACATGTAAATATCCCTTTTGCACACTACTTCTACGAATTACATCTGCTTACAATAACTTTTAAAACAGAAGAAACACAGAATGGAAATCCAAATGAGGAGTGGAATGAAAGTCTCCATGAATCTCCCTTTTCTAGTGAACAAAAGATACATTATTTACAAATATCTGGCCTCACTCAACTCCAACTTTACATGTGTACAGTATTAAACATTTGTTTTATGTTTTAATTCAAGCAAGTAGGAAAAAAGAAAGAAAATCTACCCTTGAAAAACAATGCCAACTTTGTTCCCAACTCACAGACAGAGCCCCAAACATAAACACAAAGCTCTTTCGGGGGCCCTGGGTTGCCAGTGTCAGTGATTACACGCTGGGCACGAAAGCACACATCTTTAGGCAAAAATGGGCTGGGCATTTAGCTCAGTGGTTCTGCAGCCTGCCTTGCAAGCGCAAGGACCGGAGTTTGATTCCCAGCACCAAAAAAAAAAAGACAAAAATAATCAGCCTCTTGCCTTTGTGGCTATAATTAGAAGAGCCTTGGTATTCTAGTAGTTGTTGCTATTATAGTTTCTAGACTCATTAAATTTAAAAAAATCATATAATCAGGTCAGCAAATTTCACTCAATTATGCAAAATCAAACTAAACAATAACATGGGCTGGGGATTTGGCTCAGTGGTGGTGCTGTCTGCCTCGCAAGCCCAAGGTCCTGATTTCGATCCCTGGTACCAAAAAACAAACAAACTAACTAAACAATAACAAAATAAAATTGCTTTCCATTTACAAAATGCTAAAATTACCTTAAGTCTTTCTTGCATTATCAAAATAATCTTATAGCATACATTGGAGTTTCTAAATTCACAGCTAAGAAAGCTGCAACTTAAAATCACATTATATATCCCATTCATAAAAGTATCAAGGTAATAAAATTATCATGCAGTTCATAGATGTCTAATATGCTAATTTAAAATTCAAGCTCTTTCTGGGCAACAGAAAATTTCAACATTAAAGATGAATTATTTCTTCCTAATACACCATAAGTTCTTTAGGAGCTGTCCAAAAAAATACATACAATTAGAGAAAAAAACAAAACTAACATAACACTAGAGAAAACTTTTTTCAATTATGTGTCAAAAATTTTTTAATTAGTAAAAATAAGATGATCCACTTATTTAGCTCCCAACAATTCAAGTCTTTAAACTCTCCCAGATAGGAGAGTCTTTTGATCAACACTGCAGCAGCCTGTCTAGTCTAAATGTGCTAGATTCTAACTTATTCTAAATAATCTTTCATTCCACTAAAATAAAAAAATCTTAATATATTTTTAGTAATGAGACTGTAGTTAACAAAAGTCTCTCTTTATACCATACATACAGATTTCTAACTGAAACTTCAATGATAGCAATAAATATTTATTTTCCTTTTGCAAGACTTTAAGTTAAAATAAGCAAACACACACATGTACAGTGAAAACATGCACTGAAAACTCTTCAGAGATCCACATTAAGGTCAAGAAAGGCTAAGACTAGGAAATGCTAATTTGTTGTTATGGACATAACAAAAGACCCTCAAAGCAAGGCCTCTGAGTGTCTTAGAGGTCAGCAAAAAACACTGACTCATGAGTCTGAAGTCACCTCCCTCAATATCCCTAGTAAGATTCTTGGGTGACCAGCTCGGCTCCGAAGAGCACAATGGTTCTACCAGTGACGGGTAACTCAAATCCATATCTTCACCTAAAGATATGCTTAAAATAGAAAACACAGAAAAAGAAGAAATGATTTAAGCTGTCTTTTGTTAACTTTTCATTTTTAATCAGGTAAGTGTTAGGTGAATATTAAATTTCAGGAATGAAAATCTACCTCATATAATTTATTTGTAGGATAGTAACTTGTACTTTAAATGCTTTTCAGGTTTAGTTTAGTTACCTCTGCTTCTACATCCACATTTTGCTTCAAAAGTAACTTCAAAATATCAACGTGTCCATTTTGACTAGCAGCTTGCATAGCTGTGTGGCCAGCACATTGTCCATTCACCTAAATTCAAAAAAGTTCAAAAAGAATGAACATATGTCACAAATCAGAAAGACCCAATATACACCAACATTAAAGGTTTAAATCTAATACAATGGGTAATCTATGGGAAATTTAAATTGATGCTCCATGGCTGATAGCACAGACCACCAGAAACTCTTCCATTTACAGAAGGCTAAGACTTTTTAAATGGAATTTCATTATTCAAAGAGATATAAAGGATCTGTTTAGCCAATCTATAAAGATGAAAGAAAGGAAACAGGAAAGGAGGGGGGGGTGAAGTTAATTTTGTATATAATATATACATACTTCTTTTTTGGATTATTAAATCTCAGACACCATGGTTAAATGAGAAAAGGGACTGAAGTGAGTGAAAAACTTTTAGAAAAGTTATTACATAGGGCTGGGGATTTAGCTCAGTGGTTTCGTCGCCTGCTGCGCAAGTGCAAGGACCCAAGTTCAATCCCTGGTACCAAAACAAAAAGTTATTAGAAACTACAGTATAAATAAATTCAATTCAATATACCAAATACCAACTCGGCAAACTACCATGAAGGATACATAAATGAGTGAGGCACCTGGCTATACAAAACTATTATATTATAAAGCAGTAATTTCCAACCTTTCTTTCATTTGCAAGGTTGTGTACTCACATTTTACTTACCTGTGGACATATCTGAGGCCTAGAGCAACTCCTTAATCCTAACCCTTTCACTCCCATCCCTACAACCACAGAAGATGATTAAAGATCGTGGCCTGGCCACACGTTCATATTCTATCCCTCCTAAGACCACACTAAAATGACAGTAAAATAAATTAAAATGTAAAAATTCATAAAGACAAAGGGAAAAGGCAACTTATATCAGAAGAAAAAAAAAGCAACACATTTGTGAAAGAAACACAACAGACAGAGAAAGATGAACTGACTTTTGTGTTGGTCAGCTTTCTTTTTGCTAGGTCCAAATACCTGACACTCATAACTGAAAGGAAGAAATGGTTTATGTGGCTCATGCTTTCAAAGAATTTGGTCCTGGATCAACTGGCTCAAAGGCAGAAGCATCGTGGTAGGAAGATATGGCAGAGCAAAGCTACCTGGTTCATGACAGGCAGAGAGCCGAGCAGGGGAACAGCAACAAAGAGCAAGATAAAACACCCAGGTCACATGGCCATGACCCACCCAGAATGCTGGTCACTAACCCCCTGCACTGCTCCCACAGCAATCAAGTTGACAATGAGGCTTAAGAGTCAGAACTTTATAGGGAAGAGGAAGCCAAAGCCCAAAGAGCACAAAGAACTCTAAATAAACTAAAATCCTACAAATACAAGCACATCAGAGGGTGAACAAAAGCCAAGTACACCAAGTAGTACAGGTCTGTAATACTAGTTATATGGAAACCTGAGGAAGGAGGATCTCAAGTTTGAGGTCAACCTGGGCAACAAAATAAGACCCCTGTTGTTATGACTTATATCTAGATGTCCCCCCTAAAGCCTCATTCAGTCATAGGGTGGGGAGTTTTGAAAATAGCTAGATTAGAGGGTGTTGAATGTGGATTAAGGTGTGATATTGGGATTAAAGGTGTAGATGATGGAAGCCCCATCCTGGATATGGTGGCACCTATCAACAGGCTTGTAGCCTGGATGGAATATAAAGAGACAGAAAGAAGGCAAGCTGCTGCTGCTTGCTGCCTGCTGCCTGCTATGCCATGAATTGTTTCTCTTCTGCAATGCCCTTCCTTCTGCCATGCCGCAATGCCCTTCTGCCATGCCACACTGCCCTGGAGCCAAGTGATTACAGACTAAAACCTCTACAAACTGGGAGCTAAATAAAACTTTCCTTCCTTAACTTGTGTGTGTCAGATATTTTGTCTCAGCAATGAGAAAGTAACTAAGACACCTGCTCAAAAACAAATCTTCAGAGGGTTCTCAAGAGGAATCCAAAGCCTAAGTCTGACACACAACACCACACTCCAAGTGTGTTATGGTCTGTGTTTAGATGACCTCCCCCCCGAAAAGCCTCATGCAGATGAGGTGGGACTTTCATTTTCAGAAGTAGCTGAATCTGGAATGTGTGGCTCCTGAGATTAAGAGTATGTGACTACTAAACCACTACACATGAGTGAGTGGTCTAGCACTGTCCTAATCCCGGTTGTCTGGATGGGATAAAAGAGGCAGAAAGACGTGGTGAAGTCTGTATGCATGTCTCTGTCTGTCTGTCCATCCGTGTCTCTCTCTCTCTCTCTCTCTTTCTTTCTCTGTTACTTTTGCTACCTTGCACGCACCATGTTGTTTCTCTTCTGCGAGGCCTGTTTGCCATCCCAGCCTTGGAGCCAAACAATTATGAACTGAAACCTCTATGAACTGTAAGCCAAATAAACCCTTTCCCTTTTAACTTTGGGTGTCAGGTATTTTGTCTCAGCAATGAGAGAAAAGTAACTAACACAAAGTGCAGTCCTCAAACTCAAAGACAAGGCATTAGCTGCCTGTCAGTCTATAGACAGGAAAAAGGAGGCATCTTGCTCTTTAAAAAAAAACCAAACTGCTATAGAGAATAGACCTCTCAATAATGGCATGTGAAGATCCCCCAAAGCTCTATTTAGTTGTCACCATAATACAGTCAGTAAGTTCCACACAAATAATGGGAGGACCAATCAGCCTTTTTCCCTGGTACTGGGATTGAACCCAGGACCTTCACACTGAGTTCTCACTAAATTGCCCAAGATCTTCCTGCCCCAGAGCCCCAGAAGCAGTGCCATAAAACTGGATCCTGATCAGCATTTTAATCTTATTTAAATAGGAATGAACAAGCAAAGTTCAGAGATTTGACTCAAACACAAAAAAAGGACACAACACAATAAATAATTCAAAACAAAAAGAGAAAATAATGTGGAAAAAAAAATGAAAAGAAAACTTTGGAAGCAAATTTTCACTTAAAGATGTTCAAGAATACTCATCTTTTAAAAAGGGGGGGGATGCTATGAAAAATAGGAAAACTAAAGTGAAAAAATCCACTAGAAACTATGGTTTTTAAGTAGTGTGAGATAGATAGATAGATAGACAGATAGATAGATATTCCCATTACTTCTTGACATTTTACTTTTTTTAAGCCTCAACTCACAAAGACAATTAAAACAAAGAAAACAGCATGCGTACAATGCAGGAAGAGATACACTCTCACTCTCTTGTGCCTGCCCACCACCACCACCACCCCCACCTCATTCACAATGAACACTTGAAAGCAGATGAACAAGACTAAGGATAGCAGACCTAAGCCTGCCACAAGAAAGAACAAGGCACAATCCTTTTCAACAAATGTACTACTCAGCCAAGGAATATACAACGGAATACTACTCGGCCATAAAAAAAAGATAATATCTGGCCATTTGTAATAATATGGATGGAACTGTAGATCATTATATTAGATGAAATAAGTTAGGCCTAGAAAGATAAGTAATGCATGGTATCACTCATATGAGGAATCCTAAGTCGATTTCATAGAGATTGAGAATAGAATGATGGTTATCACTGGCTGGGGAGGGGAGTGGAAGGGAGGGATGAGGAGAAATTAATCAATGGTTATTAAGTTATAGATAGCAGTAAAATATTCAAGTATGCTATTGCACAACAGTGACTACAGATAATAACATACTGTATCTTTCAACACAACAGAAGGATTTTCAATGTGTTCTCCACAAAGAAATGACAAATGTTTGAGGAAAGAAATTCTATGTATACATGTATTAAACCACATAATTTCACATAAATATGTACCATTTTTCTTTTTATGTATCAGTTAAACAATAAATTTAAATTAAAAAGTTAAATACATAGTGATCAAATAAAAAATATATGTGAAAGCATGCTCAAAAATATTTTTAATAGGGCCACCCACCTTCCAGGCCCATTCTGTCTCTTAGACAGAAGCTATCTTTCCCTCAATAAATATTTCCTACTCTTAAAATATATTTTAATATAAACCAGTAATTAACTGAAGGAAACATTTAATAAAATAAAAATAATAAATGTAATAAATATAAAATGTAGTAAAATACAAACCTGCCTGGCTGAATATAATGTGGAAGTCTAACTCTATATTTCAAACACAAAAAACATTTGGTATTTCAACATATAAAACAAATTTTGTGTGGCTTGTTTCATTACCAATCCCGAAATCACTGTGTTGGGTTGTTGCAACTGATCTCTCTCTAATAAAGGTAGATGATTACATGAATTTTACAGGAGGAATAAGACATTAACACCTTAAAATTACAGATCTGATCTTTAAACTGTAGCATACTTAAAAAGAAGCACATAAAGGTGTGGTAAAAAAGCCCTCTCAACATAATGAAGACGATCAAACTGCCACTCCCACTACACCCTCTGCAACGGCACTCTACTTAACACTGGTGCCAGCGTGGTACCAATGGCAAAGCCAAAGGACAATGACAACTACAGTCAAAATAAATAGTCCGTACAAAATATGCCTTGTGTGAATGGCTACACCATAACCTATGAGGAGTCAGAAGAAACATGACCTCTAATTCATCTTCATTATAAACTGTGAAATGGTCAACTTTCATAGAAGAGGGCAAAAAATTTAAATGTTTTACATAGATTTAAAGTTGCTTATAAAATTTACTAAATATATTTAAAAGATGTCACATAATGACATTTAGAGAAAGATTCATTAAATTTCCCAACAGAACACAAAGCACTTAAAAACCTAAATGCAAATCGTCCATCATGAAATATAAAAGGTCATAGAGTTAAATAAGAAAATACGACTATTTTTCAATGCACACTTATGAATGATGGCTGTTGCCTGCTTCAAATACTTCAGAAAAACAAGAATGAATGGATGAGACACATGTGGCACAATCATAATAATTATTCAGCTATATGGCAAAAATCTTAATAATTGTTGAATACAAAACTCCTTATAGGGCCGGGGATTTAGCTCAGTGGTTCCAGCGCCTGCCTCGCAAGCGCAAGGTCCCAAGTTTGATCCCCAGTACCAAAAAAAAAAAAAAAAAAAAGCTCATTATACTATACTATTTTTGTGTAGGCATCAAAATAATTTTAAAATGCTCACATCCACGTCTGGTCTTTTCAGCAAATCTTCCACTTTAGCAACATCTCCATTGGCAGCAGCCTTAACTAATTCTTCATTCAGATCACCAGATTCTTGAGTTTCAAACAATTTCTTCAGGAGCTGAGAGAGTCTTTCTGCAACACATGAAATAAAGCTGCTAATTTAGGAGGGTCTCAAACTTTAACTACCACGAAACAAGTATTATCCATATCCCTATAATCTACTTTGTTATTTCAATCATTAGTGTTATTCTTGTACTGTACTACAGATAACTATCCACGTAAGTTATAACCACTACTCTGTCAAGCTGCATCAGATTCAAGGCCACAGAATTCCACGTTTCCTTCAATTTGTGTATTTCAAGTTATTATAAGAGAAAAAAGCAGAGTTACACACTAATAATTCAGAAGTTGCCCTAATGATATTATGAATGAACACATCAGGATGGGAGTACGACGATGGTACAAACTTTCTTTTGGATTTTAAGCATACCATAATGACTCTCAGAGTTCATACTGCAGACCTCAGAATAGTTCAACCTCTCAATGATTACGATTCAAAGGTAATGAAACAAAAAAAGTAACAGGGGCCAGGGATTTGGCTCAGTGGCTCGACCACCTGCCTCGCAAGCATAAGGTCCCAAGTTTGATACCCAGTACCAAAAAAAAAAAAAAAGTAACAATCTCTGGAGATTTGCTTAGGAGAACATCGAGTTTTAGTTGAACACGGACACCTAAATGCTAACAACATACTTCATTAAGTGCCAACTGATTTTCTGTGTATGTGTGTATTATTAGCGATTGAATCCAGGGCCTTCAATTATAGCTTCAGGGGAGCTCTAGGGCCCTTTTTATTTTTTATTTTGAGGCAGGGCCTCACTAAATTACCCAGATTGGGCTCAAACTTGCCATCCCCTCCCTCAGCTGGGATTATAAGTAGGCACCACCATGCCCAGCCAACTGATTGTTTTTGAAAAAATCAAGAACCACGTAGGAGCAGATATACAACCCTTTCATAACATTTTTTTTCCTAAATAGTATCAATCAATACAGCTACCAAGTTCTACTCCTTAATTCCTGGAGTACTTAATGGGAAGCAAAGAAATCACAAACTGAGGCAAGGAAAAAAACCACACAGTGGGCCACATTATTGAGAGTAGGATATTAATCATCTTTCACACTTATACCTTGTGGTCGCCTAGTGTGATGCTATCTAACCTCCACTTTGAAAATAAATATTATTTAAACTTTAAATACACAGCAAACTACAGCCAAAGAGAGAAAAGCAGAGAAAGTAAGAAGCAGTACAAAAATAAAATGAAGATCACCTGGCATTTTCCTTTTTCATCTTTCCATTTACAGTTACGATTCTATCTTCTTTCCTGGATGACAACAGTATACACACAGAAATGTGTAACAGGTTGCAGAAGGAACTGTGCCCATGTATGTAAAGCTGGCGCACAGGCAGGAAAGGCTTTGGGTAAAACGTCTATCCAAGCACCCAACAAGTTCATATTTTAACAGGGTTTTTGACTCATTACGGCAGGGGCAATAACTCTTATTAAATGACAAGGGAAAAAATAGAGCTGATGTGTAAAAATCTCCAGGAAGAAAGCCATTTGTTAGCAATAATGTTGGAAATATAAAGTAAAGCATTCTAAGAAGGTGATGGTTCTCTGCAGAAGACAAAAATTCTGACTAGTGAAAAGAATGTTGAATTTCAGGTATATCAGGCTTGATATAGAGAAGGCCCTGATATACCCAAGATATATAAAAGCATATGTTTAAGGAACTTTTCCAGGGATGAAAGCAAAGATATAAAAGCATATGTTTATGGAACTTTTCTAGGGATTCCCTCAGCTAGAATAAAGGCTCACCACATAAGAAAAAGAAAACCCTTTAGTAAAAGTTTTTAAAGTGATCAACATTCAATGGAGCCTATGTAATGTGGGAGAAAGCCAAGCACACATACAACATTATTTGCTTAAGGAAATTAGGGAATTAGTAAAGGTTCTAACATAAACCATATCACTTTCTTTCTTCCTTTCTTTATTTATTTGTACTGGGGATTGAACTCAGGACCTCACACTTGTGAGGCAGGCACAGTGCCACTGAGCTAAATCCTGAGCCCCAAACCATATCATTTTTAAAGACACACAACACGAAACCTACCACCAGAGGCATTGCTGATGGCTGATCCTGCAGATGCCACCTTGGAAACTGCTGCTGGATTATATGTCCAAGATGTTCCACATACTTCCACCTTTAAGTCGCTGTCGGAATAAATCTGTTGTACTCGGCCAACTTTACCTAAAGTCTTAAAAAAAAAATTAGATTCATGTTTCCAAGGTTAAGGTAAACAACAAACTCAATCATTAGTTCTTATAAAGTATTAATTTTACTTGTTTGTAATTTTAAATTTTACTTGTTTGTAATTTTTAAAATTCTAGTGGATTAGTTATAAACTTTAAAGAGTAACTTAAAAATACTTTAATATTATATTAAAATATTTAATAATTACTACTATATTTCCACAAGAATATAAATGATAAAATGTATCTTCTTCATAAAGTTCATAAAAATTTATTTTGATACTCAACCCGCTTTTTTTAACCTCATGAAATACATTTGAGAACTTGCAACTAAAATAGTTCAAAATCAATCATCAATAAAGCCTAAGAAAAGGAAGTCTGATTTCTAAAGAAAAACTAATACCAAAGGGCTCAAGCTTACATCTATGCTTAAATCTATCTTTCCTTCCTTCTCTCTCTCTCTTTCTTTCTTCTTTCTTTCCTTCCTCCTTTCCTTATTTATGTATAATCACCCCTGATTCCACAACAGGATGCAGAAATCACATGCAATCACTGGACTGGAATCGGAGGGACGCTGGGGCATACTGCAACCAGCAGCTGCTGAAATTCCTAGCAGGCAGCAGTAGCAACCTTCTGTATGAACTCATCTACACATTTAATCCTGAAACAAATATTATTAGGCCTTTTTTTTTTCCGGTACTGGAGATTGAGCTCCAGACCTTGTGCTTGCGAGGCAGGAGTGGTGCCGCTGAGCTAAATGCCTGGCTATTGGGCCTATTTTAACTCAAGTTCAAAACCCATCTCTGATGCACAACCACAAATCACAACAGTGGATAGCTGATGAGAACAGCAGTAATATTTAACTAATTCCTAAACCAGGGAAAAGTTGTCCTCCAATGTTTTTCCTTTGATTTTTTCCAACTTCTTGAAACTATTCCCTTGATTTTTGGATGACAGTCTAATCTTTAAGCCACTTTCTTCCCCTTCTTTACTGACCTACTCCTTCTCCTTCTTCAGGTCCCTACACTGAATCATTGTCCCCAAACTTTTTCCTTAGTTTTTTTTTTCTCTTCTTTCTTGAAAATTCAATCCATTATAAAAACTATCACCTTCTTTCCAAAAGCACCAAAGGACAATTCTCTACCTACTTAGCCCTCTCTTCTGCTACACACACAAGATTCTAATATCCAACTTCTTGTGCTCGCTTCAGCAGCACATATACTAAAATTGGAATGATACAGAGAAGATTAGCATGGCCCCTGCACAAGGATGACACGGAAATTCGTGAAGATTCTAATATCCAACTTCTCAGTAGACACTTTCACTTGCAATCTTCCACCAGAATCTTCAACTCTACGAGGCTATTCTCTTTTCCCACTTTAACATTTTACCACAGAAAACTCCAAATAAATGTAGAGAGCACTACAGTAAAGTCTTACACCCATCAAGCTGTTAAAACGGCAATCAGTGGATGGCCAAGTTTGTCTCATCTACCCCTACCCATTCTCCACTCCTGTGGCATTTTACTATGCACCTGCAACACCAGGAAATCGTTTCCTTACATGTCTGTAATACCATTTGTTTTCAACTCAAAGTTATCAATAACTGTCTATCAGAGGGCCAGGGATTTTAGCTCAGTGCTTTCACCACCTGCCTCAAAAGCGCAAGGTCCTGAGTTCGATCCTCAGTACCAAAAAAAAAACAAAACAAAATAAGTGTCTATCATAAAATACAAAATATCAGTGTTTTGAATTACCAATCATAACATAAATGTGATCATTTTTTAAAGTTTGTTTGAATCAAGATCCAAACAAAGTCCATACATATTTTTTTCTTTGCAAATTGTGTGGAAAAAACAGCACTATTTGACCTATGAGGCTTATGATCTGAATTTTGTTAACTGGTGTTAGGTGAACATGTTATTTGGTCAGTGAGAACCTCGTCAGTTGGCTACTAACTCTTCAAACATGGCCCCAGAAATCTTTCACAGCTTTCTTGCTATCTGGTATGAGGCTTCCCTTCTTCACTTCCTGCCAAAGAGCCACAATTACCCACTTCCCAAAGAGCCTTGATTCTCTACTAAGGGCAAGGCTATTTCAAGAGCATAACCTCAGCCCTGATGCTGGCTACTGTTACTAGAATGGTCATCATGGTAGGCCTTTCATGGACAAAACTAAGACACAGGATTTTTGTTTTCTTTTGTTTAGCTTTAAACATTTTTCATTTTGTTAAGTTTTTAAAGATGAAATAAGTCATGAATTCAAATATTCCAATTCAAATCAAAGGGTATAATGTTTTTATTTCACTCCTATATTATTTTTATCTCTTTTTCCCACTTTGATTGTTTTGGTTCTCAAGGTCATTGGGGCCAACACCACTACAATTATCATGTAAGTGCTTATTAGCTTTACATCACATAAAAAAATCTCAGAGTATTAGTATAAATACCACCATTTACAGTAAGATTTCTGAAAATTAAATATTTCTTTTCCAAGCAGTTATTTAAGGTATATTTCTCCAATAAGGACCTAAAAACAAATTACTATGCTTAAAAATCACCTTGAATTTTTCTTGGTTTATATCAACAAGAAACATATTTAGTTTCTTTTGTTTCATTTTATTTTCCACTTTTAGGAGTCTTTTTAAATTTTGTCTTACACTACTGTATAAAATGTGTATAATTTCAAATCAAATTTATAAAACAAGATATACTGTAAGACATCTCCCTTCTTCTACCTTTGTCCTCTATATCCTATTCCCTTTTAATATGGGTTACTTTTTTTAATTTCATGGTTTATTCTTTCATTGTTTTAATATAAAATTTCTATTGTCCTAATAATTCTTATTAAAACCATATATATATATATATATGTGTGTGTGTGTGTTCTCTAGTATGTGCAATAATGAAATTAGTCATTCATGTGTCCTCCTTACCAACCCAGTTAACATAACTAAAAAGCAACTGAACAGCCTATTAAACTTTTTCTACAATTCCTATTCCCATTCCATTTGACAGCTGTACATTACACTGCTAGAGAACATAATCATTATGTACACTCTCCTTTCCTTTAAAACCATCATTTAATCTTCGTGCAACAACACATTGTTTCATGATTAGCTTATCTCTCTGCAATCATTTTAGCTGTATGAAATACATTCTTAGGTAGATTACTCAGAAAGGGTTTGTGGAAACTAGATTTCTTGAACTTTTATGTATTCATATCAATACGTAGCCTTTTAACATATTTTCTGAAGGATTTTGGAAAATAAATGCTATTTCATTGTTTCCTAACATAAAACATTGAGATCAGATTTTTTCTTAACGGCAAAAATAACTTTCTTATTCTGTTCTTTATTCTCTTTTTTTCAGTAACAATGGTGTATGAGAATTCAACTGACCCCTGTCACCTTTTACCTGGTCTCCTCTGCCCTTCCTGTCTCCATCCCACTGAATCTGTGTCCACTCCTAGACCCTTCTCCCTGAGGCAAGGCACTGCCTTGGAGGGAGCTGGTTAGTTTTGAATCTTTAGCAAGGACCTACCACTGCCAGCCCACACTAGAGTCTGCAGGGTCCTCAGGTCGCTGCCCCCGGGAAGGCTGCAGTAGTCCTGCACCGCTAGAGGCCGCGCCCAGGTTCCACGTGGCACCAGGCAAAGTATCAGGGAAGCCTCTGCTGTCTGGCAGGGCATTCAATTTCCCACTAGCAGAGCCATCAACAGTACTAACCCTGGGCCAGGGATTTAGCTCAGTGGTTTCGTTGCCTGCTGTGCAAGCGCAAGGACCCGAGTTCAATCTCCAGTACCAAAAACAAAAACAAAAAAAACTCCAATACTAACCCTAACCCTTTCTGGACCTTCCCATGCTGACTTAAATGGAATAAATCAGAAACAAAAGGCACAAGTATATCTAGCTGCCAATATGGTTTCTAAAATGAATTTACTTTTAAACAAGAGTACGTAGGCAAAGTTTCTAGCCCCAAACTGATATGTACTTACTGGTAGCATTGCTTCAGCCCACTCTCCATGTCCTCTTTGCAGAAGTTTGATTCTTTCCAGATCGTAACAAACTTGCACGAGATCGCCCACCTGAAACTGCGAAGTGCCTCCTTCCGCACCCTGTGCAGAGTCCCCACTGCGAACAATGTTGGCTTTGGTGAGGACAGCAGGATTAAATGTCCACCTGCAAAAGCAAAGCCAAAGCTCAGAAACAGGCAAACTTACTTAACTGTCTTTCCTTCCTAACACTGTGGGAGGAGACACCTAAGACAGAGGGAAAAGCCAGGCAATCCTTTCAAATTACATTCGAGTGATTTGTATTTCTTTTGGGTTTTTTGGGGAGACGGCGGGGGGGGGGGTGTTTGTACTGGGGATCGAACTTGGGATCTTGCATTTGTGAGGCAGGTGGCAGCACCATTGAGCTAAATCCCCACCCCTGTATTTCTTTTCATAATGTATCTGATTTTATAATTTTATTATACAAATTTGGGGAAAGAGTCATCTCTGATCTCACCATCCTAATACAATACTTTTAGTAATACTTTTGTCTAGATTTATTCTCTACGTGTTTTTAAAACCTGTAACAGTAATGTAACCATTGTTAAAGAGCTCAAACATTTGAGAAGCATGTAAAGTGAAAGTTCCATATGACACAAACACCTGGATCACTAGAAACATTAACACTTCATTACATATCCTTACAGATCTATCAATATGCTGAGTGACAGTCCACCAGTTGTCATTATATTTTCCTGGTAGTCTCCTTTGAAAAGTAAAAGTTCTTAATTTTGATGAGGTCTAGTCTATCTTTTCTTTGTTTTAGGGTCTTATCTATACGACCACTGTCTAACCCAAGGACATGAAGATTTACACCTTTTTGCTGCCAGACTTTAAAGTTTTGGTTCTTAGAGTTAGTTTGATAGTCAATTTTGACTCAAAACTTGTATATCATGTGTGGCAGGGGTCCAATTTCATTCTTTTGCATGTGGCTATTCATCTGTCTCAGTACCACTAAATTATCTTGGACTCTGAACAGAAATCAATCTATGCTGAATGCGAGAGCTTACTTCTGCACTCCCTATTCTTCAATCTGTGTGTCTAACTTTGTGTCACTAGCACACTGTCTTACTATAGCTTTGTGGTCTCCCTATTTTTTTCAATACACAAGACCACATCACCTGTGAACAGTTTTATATCCTCTTTCCTCTCACTTCGTCTTTTCATTTCTTTTTTCTTGCCCTGGCTAGAACCTCTAGGTACAAGGTTGAAAACAAGTGGGAAAGTGGACCTTCTTATTTTTAATGTGAAGGGGAAGGAAGTATTCAGTCTTTCACCACTGAGTATGATATTATCTGTGAGTTTCTTGTAGATCCCTTTACCAGGTCCTTTAATCAAGCTGCAGACATTGCCTTCTGTTTACTGTTTTGATCACAGAGTACTAGATTTTTGTCATATACTTTTTTTGCATCTATTGATAAGACTGTGTGTGCTCTTGAGATTTGGGTACAACTGGAGCTAATTCTATACTTAGGTAAGCAATTTCATGTTAATTTTTCTTCTCTACACAAAATCCCTTCCCTAAAGAACTAGGCCTTAGTTTCTCTATGTCAATAAGACAATTATTCAATTAACTACTGTTTTTATCTTAAAGTATTATAAACATACTAGTAAATAAGATATTTTGGTCCCTAGAGCCAAAATAAAAGGAATAAGCTGAGTCTCCAAGAAACCTGAAACCAAGAAATCAAATAATCATTTTAATTGATAATAGGAGACATAAATAGATGAGTACCAGGGTGGTTGGCAAGAGTGGAGAAAAAAAAAGAGTGGAGAGCCCTAAATTAGCACATGAATTCAAAATTCATAGGATGTAGGGGTGTTAAATCCAAGGAAGAGGGTATGAAATGAGGAAAGGAATCCCAGGAGGAGTGAGTAACATACAAAGGTACCAAGTAGGAATGCGTACAAGTCTATATTGCTGGTAAGAATTAAGTGTGTGCTGAGGATGGTGGTGCACGCCTGTAGCCCCAGGCCTCCAGGAGCCTGAGGCAGGAGGATCCAAGTTCAACCCCAGCATGGGCTATTTAGGGACTTAGGAAGACCATATCTCAAAAGAAAAAAGGGCTGAAGCTCAGTGCAAAGGTCCTGGATTCAATCTCCAGTACTGAGGGGAAAAAAAAAAAAAGAGGAAGAAGAATTAGTGTATGTGCACATATCCAAAGCATGGGAGGGAGAATTGTTTTGTCAAGTGATGACTAAATACAGCCCAGAGTAGTTTTAACAGTACCCTTCTGATTCACAGATTGCTATGGTCCACTTTGAACAAAGAATTTTTTAGCTATTCTTGCACCTGATACTGATATAATGTATTCCACTCCTAGAGGAAAAATCAAAGTATATAAAATTTTGCATCATAAATACATAATCTCTCTTCTTTTTTTTCCTCTGTGTGTTTTTTGGTACCAGGGATCGAACTCAGGTCCTTGCGCCTGCAAGGCAGGCAGCAGAACCACTGAGCTAAATCCCCAGCCCTCTCTCTCTCTCTCTCTCTCTCTCTCTTCTTGTTCCTTACCAACATACTCGCATTTTCATCTCCCACTTAAGAACTTGAATGACTCTGATTAATCACATTATTTACTCTCCTTAAGGGCCTTTTCTATGTGTACTAACTTTGTCAATATCAAAAACAGAAATGTCACCAACCTATTGCCACTTGGGTACTGCACTACAATGTCATGATCTTCATCGATGCCACAAACAGTTCCAGTGGTAGTTAAAGTCTCAAACATCCCATCAGTCCATCCACCGTGACCATGCTGCAGAGACTGCACAATTTCTAGGTCAAGATCTATATTTACCAAGTCACCAATCTGCAATCCACCAGGATTCCTGTTGCCATTCTGCTCGCCTGTAATTTCAAAGGCAGTTTAAAAAAAAAGAAAGAAAGAAAGAAGAAAGTCACAGGAACAACATAAAACTGCATTTTGTATGGACAGGATTACTAAATCAATCTCTTTACTCATTACAGGTCTACTCTAATTTCCTATGTCTTCTTTAATCAGCTTTGGTAGTTTTTATCTTTCTAGGAATTGATTCATTTCACCCTGTTTACCTCATTTGTTGCTTACCATTATTTATAGTATCTCCTTGCAATTTTTTAATTTTTCATAGACCAATTTCTTATTTTATTTTTATGTATTTATTGGGCACAGTATGATATTTTGGTACATAATGTAGAATGATCAATTCGGGGTAATTACCGTATCTATCACCTAAATACTCATCCTTTATGGTAAGAACATTCAAAATCCTCTCTTCCAGTTACTTTGAAACATACAATAAATTATTGTTAACTACAGTCGCCCTACTGTGCTACATAAAAACAGAACTTAAGGGCCAGGGATTTAGCTCAGTGGTTCTGCTGCCTGCCTCACAAGCGCAAGGTCCCGAGTTCAATCCCTGGTCCAAAAAAAAAAAAAAAACTCAGCTGAAAAAAACTATAACTTATTCCTCCTACTTAACTGTAATTTTATATGCATGAACCACCTTTCACCTGCAAATGTACTACTTTTTTTTTTTTTGGTACCGGGGATCGAACTTCGTTCCTTCCACTTGTGAGGCAGGTGGTGGAACCACTGAGCTAAATCCCCAGTCCCAAATGTAATACTTTTAAACAACACCAACTCTCCCCTACACACACCCCATTCCAGAGATCAAACTCAGGACCTTGCACTTGCCAGGGAGGCAGCGGAATCACTGAGCTAAATCCCTGGCCCACTACTTTTAAACCAAAATAATGTTAAATATTTTAGTTTCAGGTGCCAACTAATCTTAAAATGTTTTAAGAATTCACTGTTAAAAACAAAAAAAAAGAATTCACTGTTAAGGGCCGGGGGATGTAGCTCAGTGGTTCTACCGCCTGCCTCACAAGTGCAAGGTCCCTAGTTCTATCCCTAGTACCAAAAAAAAAAAAAATTCACTGCTAAGTATGAGATTCTGGAACTGAGAGATTTTAAAAACAAAAAAAAACAAACATCAGACTCAAAAATTTTACTAACACAGGGTGGAGATGTCGCTCAGCAGCAGAGCACTAGGAGGCCCTGGTTTAATTTCCAGCACAAGACAACAAACATGACAACCAAAAATCTGGTAATGTACTGATTCATAATAACGAGTGAGCAGGAGCAGAGTCTATAAAAGACTATTCAACCCTATCTCAGAACACAAAATTCTGGATGACAAAAATACTTTTCTGCCTAGATGACCTATCACTGCACCAGAGCCACCATAACTAATCACACATAGAAAAGAAAGCCCTAGATTTCTTTTTCTCTAAAGTTGTTAGTATGCTCTGCTTTGTTTTGTTTTTAAGAAGGAAAAATCTATTTTTTGCTCATGGTTTCAGAGGTTTCAGGCCATGGTGTCAGTATAATTTTTCAATAAGTTGGTTCTGTGATTTTTGCCTAAAGAGCATTTTTCACTATTTCAAAGCCCATTCCCTATATTATTTTAAATAGCTAGTTCTAGGATAAAAGATTCATGATCACAAAACTCTGTGCTAAGGGATCGAAAATACGTTTGTTGATTCCTCATTTTTCTTAAGAAAACAAGACACAAATCAAGAAAGTTTTTATTTTGTCGCCTGCTGCACAAGTGCAAGGACCTGAGTTTGATCCCCAGTACCAAAAAAAAAAAAGAAAAAAGAAAGTTTCTAAAATTAAGAAAAATGCATGAGTACATCAAAAACACCGGTATTTTTCCAACACTGTCCTTTTATTAAAAAATTTAAGTATGCATCAAGAACACAGCACTTCTTGACTAAAAGGCAAGCCAACTGATGTAGAAAGAGGAAAATAAAATTCATATGATAAAAATGCATTCAGGGGCCAGGGGTTTAGCTCATTGGTTCCGCCGCCTGCCTCGGCAAGCACAAGGTCCCAAGTTCGATCCCCGGTATCAAAAAAAAAAAAGCATTCAGACACCAAAGGATCAGAAGAGAGTGGTAAATGTTTATTTGGTAAAAATAAGCAATCTATAAAATGAAAGTAGTTTCAATTTTCTTGTTCTTTCTTTTAAATTTTAATAATACATGAAGGAGGTGGAGCATTCCTGTAATCTCAGCACTTTGGGAGGCAGACACAGAAGGATCACAAGTTCAGGACCCACATCAGCAACTTATTTAAGACATTGTCTCAAAATTTCAAAAAAAAAGGGCCGGGAATTTAGCTCAGTGGTTCCAGCACCTGCCTCGCAAGCGCAAGTTCCCGAGTTCGATCCCAGGTACCAAAAAAAAAAAAAAATTTTTCAAAAAAAAAAAAGAGGCTAAGGAAACAGCTCAGCACAAAGACCCTGAGTATCAATCCCCAGTACCGGAAAAAAATAAAACTAGCAATGATACATGAAATTTTACTTATTATATTACCTTAATCTTGGAGCTGTTTTTGTTTTTGTTTTGGTGTCGGGGATGGAACTCAGGACCTTGCACTTGCAAGGCAAGGACTGGAACCATTGAGCTAAATACCCAGCCCTGGAGCTGATCTTTTATTAAGAAGTCAATCTTACAGAAATTCTAAGGAAATTTATAAGCACTGAATTTTCAAATCCCATTTTAAATAATGCATGAGATACAACACTGATATAATCTAATGTAAAATTTTTCAATGACAGTTTATAGCTAAAAGATGTTTCAAATATGTATTGTGACATAAATGGCATACCACTTCAAGACATAACTCTGAGTCTAATAATAAAAAAAAACACTTTAAAACCAAAATAAAACCAAGAAACTATCTTTCTAAATGACCTTAGTTGTAACTAATTGGTTTTTTGTTGTGTGTTTTGTTTTTTTTTGAGTCAGGGCATCACTATATAGTTCAGGCTGGCCTTGAACTCACTATATAGCCGAAGCTGACCTCAAACTCCTGGTTCTCCTTCTGCCTCAGCCTCCAAAGTGCTGGGATTACAGGCATGCAGGACCACGCTCAGCCTAATGGTGACTAATTTTGTAAGTCCAACATAAACATTTTATTGAAACTGTCAATTCCATTATTAAGAAATTTTCTCTAATCTGCTAACATACCTAGCACAGGACAATGATCTCTGTAGAAAGAACCTCCTTTGGCATCCTGGACACACTTCAGATCAGACTAAGAAGGAAAGAAACCAGAAAAATCATTCATGAGAACTTCAATACCTGAAATAGGCAAAAAAATTTATTCAGAACACAGCCATGACAGAAGAATACCTCTGAGTTAACAATTACACTAAACAATGCTTGCAAAGACATCTTTCAAAAGCTATAAATCTGATCTTCAGACAGATTTTTTTCCTTTTGGAGACAGTTTCACTATGTAGTCCAAGCTGGCCTCAGTCTCAAGATCTTCCTGCCTCAGCCTCCCAAGTCCTGTCATAATAGGTATGTGCCACCATGCCTAGCTAGGTCATACTTTATCTACTTTTGGCTTCCTAATTTTAAAGTTCAAAATTTGAATTATAATAGAATCTTTAATGTTACATTTTAAAAATCATGTGACAATATAAGAACTATAACAAGTATTTAAAATGTGCGTGACACATTTAACCTGAAAGATACTTTTACCAAAAAATCTTGTGTAAACTTTCCAATCAATTTTATGAAACACAGGGCAAATATTAACTTATTTTATAAATAAGGAAAGTGAAGACAAACAGTAAAGGAAACTGCCCAGAACTGAGCAGCGAGGACTAGGTAAATATGGATACAGCCAAGTCCAGTCTTTTGAACCCTTGCCCAGTTAATCTTCTTCTTTGCTTCAACTTAGTCCTTGCTTCACTGTAACTTGATTGCTCAGGTTCATTATCTTTTGACAAGGATTTAGCTCAGTGGTGCCACTGCCTGCCTCCCAGCATCTTTTTTGTGTGTGTGGCAGGGATCCAACTCAGGACCTTGTGCTTGCAAGGCAGGTGGCAGAACCACTGAGCTAAATCCCCGGCCTGCTCTCATTATCTTTTATGAGAAAACATTATTATTTAAGTGCAATAGGAAGGCACCAAAATGTGGACTTAGGAGAGTAATGGGGGGTTCACTGTGAAAATTCAAAAGAAAATATCAATTTACTCTAAAATGCCTAATAATGCTGGTACCCGTACTAGGTGATCAGTATATCTTACTCCATTAAGGAAAAGAGCTCTTTATACACACATGGGAGCTGACTCTGTACAGCCTCTTTTGCCAGCTGAACATAGTGTCACTCATTCCTGGCCAGAGATATGTGTCAAATTGTTTTAATGTGATGCTTTACCCCAGCAATTCTACTTTTAGGAATTTACCCTAAAGAAATACATCCATCATGGGCAAAGAAAGACACAAGGGCGCTTGCTGACATACTGCTTGTGAAGAGGAAGGATATTCATCAACAGAAACTTCATTAAATAATGGCATAACCACATGAAGAAAAGAGTACTACTCAGACACCAATCTACATACACAAACCAGCAGGCACACACAGTGCGTAAGCCTTCATTTGAAACAAATACTCAGAATCCCACAAAAAATTTACAATTTTAAAACAGGCAGAAGCGTAAGACAATGATGAAAAAGTGATGACTGGTGCTATATCCAATGATAAAACTTAGCAAATTACTTGCTAAAATTCTCATGGCTGGCTTTTCTATATAAATGGAACATATTAAGGAGACAGTAGATTTCTCTTTCCTAGTGAAAGATACAAGACCCTTGAGAAATAAATGAAATTTAAATAATTTTTATGGGGAATATATTCAAGATTGAAAGGACATAAAAAGCTTTACTGTTTGCATGAATTGATACGAATTAACAGCAAAGTCAATTTTGGAACAGCAGTCCGTGAAATGAAGACATACAGAGCAATTCACTGAATATGCCTCCATTATTCTCCTAAACACTTAAGTAATTCTAGGTTTTTCTAGGTTAATCATTCTTTATCAAATCTACACTTTAAAAAAATTGGAAAAAATCTCCTTAAAAATAAGTCGAATACCTACTAAAACTTTTATCAGCTACAAGAACAGAGAATAATAATATACCACAAAACTTTATTATACCTAGTCAAGGACTGGACTTACAGATGATTCTAAATCTTTTTGAAAGATTTTAGTAAATAAACTAGACTTAACCTAAAGGATTAGCTCTATACACTCAAGACACAACAGGGTATCCAAACATTTACTGAGGGTAAAAATCCTATTTTTTTTTCTTGCAACCCTGGGGGACTGAATCCAGGGTCTTCATACCACATTAAAACCCCAGCCCTTTTTTATTTTTTATTTTGAGAGAAGGTCTCACTAAGTTATCAGCCTCCCAGAGTACTGGATTACAGGTGTGTCCCACTGTACTGCTATCGTATTTACTACTAAACAGTTCAGACAAATATAGTAAAAACGCAAAGGTCTCAAAAGTTTATTGAATCCTCACTTTACCGATTTCCCTGTGAATGTTTATTCATGATTCAAACGGCTGTATTCTGACAGACAGGGAGGGAAAAAGAAAAGATGAAAGAGCACGATGCAGGCTGGTACTTCCCGTCCTTCACCTCCCCACCTCCATCATATGTGCGGTCCTCACTACTCACCATGCCCTCAAAGCCCACTCGGTAAAGGTTCTTTGCGCCGTTGTCCCAGAGAACATATGCTGCACTGTGTGGACTCGATGCACTCCAGTCCTGGATTTCCGTTACCTAACAGAAGGGAGGGGGAAAGCAACTTTTAAAAAGGGGAAGGAAGGTCAGGGATTTAGCTCAGTGGTTTCGCCGTCTGCTGCGCAAGCACAAGGGCCTGAGTTTGATCCCTGGTACCAAAAAAAACAAAAATAAAAAGGGGAAGAAAGAGATTAGTTCTCTTAATTATTGTATTTAAATCTTTTAAATTATTTCACCCATCAAACTGTGTAATAAATAAAACTACTTCTTTGGCAAATACGTCACATAATTAAAGCCATATTTTTCCATAATTATAAGGTAATTTCCAAAACAACTATAGGAATTTTAAATTGAGTGTCTGAGGGATCACAGTAATAGATTAATAGAAAATAATTTGATGTGAAATCTTTACATTTTTTAAATTAACAGCAGCATATTCTTTTAAACCAATTACTCAATACGAAATTTAGTATCTTTGTACAAATATGCAAAATGACTCAAGATAAGCTGGTTCTCTGGTTAGCTACAAACTGACAAGCAAAAGATCCTAAAGAGCCTCCATGGCAGCATGCAAAGATGTCTCTTCCCGCAGCAGTGTTCCGCTGCTGTCCCCAGCAAGCAGCGTGAGTCACGCAAGCCCAGACAGCATTTCTACAGCAGATGCCAGACACTGCCTCCACAACCTGCATCGACCCAGTGATTCTTCACCTTACGTGATACAAACACACACACACAGGTTGTCACTGCTTGAGGACCTAAACTCGAGTGCACAAAATGGCACAGCAAGCACCAAAGTAAATCAGTCTAAAACATGAGTGGGGAGCTGCACACGCGATCCAGATCTCGCTTCTCCATTCGGGCACAGAACCAGCAACCCTTCACAGCTCAGAAACATACTGCTACTTTCCATAAAATATACAGGGACCTTTCTTTTTGGCCCTGTAGTAAACAGTTTTGTAAGCCAGGTATTTTATGATGCTTTTGTAGAAATAAAAAGTTTTATGTTTAAGATCTAATCATTTGAGAAATATTTTAAATCAGTAAATGAGGCCACTTATTCTTAATTTTTAAATACATTGTACATGATAAAATATAGCATGTGAACTTTATAGAATAAAAGAGAGAAATGAAAACTCACATATTACCAGCCTAAGAAAATAAAGTATCACAGTACTCTCCATACCCCTTAGATGCCAACAGAGGTAACTGCGGCACCACCCTGAGGGTCTTCCTCAGTTCACCACCGCAGTACCTTACAGGGCAGCACTCTGAAGTGAAATACGCAACCTTCACTTTCTTTTTTTTTTGGTACCAGGGATCAAACTCAGTTCCTTGCACTTGCACAGTAGGTGGCAAAGCCACTGAGCTAAATCCCCGGCCCCAACCTTCACCTTCTGCTACAGCAGATTTTACTTCATTGTTTAAGAAAACACTATATTGTCATAAGTGTCTAAATTGGTTTTTGTTTTTTGTTTTGGTACTAGCAATTGAACTCAGGACCTTGTGCTTTTGAGGCAGGCATGGCGCTACTGGGCTAAATCCCCAGCCCATAAGTGTCAAAATTTTTAGAAAAAGAACCAAAAAAGGGCAGGATGTAGCTCAGTGGCACCGCACCTGCCTGGCAAGTGCAGGGTCCTGCGTTCAATCCCTGACACCAGAAAAAAAGAACCCCCCCCCAAAATCACTTGACCAGCTAAAAAACAGACTAATTTTATTTAAATCAAATTCACCCTTAATTTCAAATTACTTGGAATATAAGCAAGCTCAGTAGTCAATTCGGAATCATTAAATGAAATTCCTTCATTTGTTAGTATGACGATATGTTATTACTGACAAAGGAACAACGTGGAAGGCATTAAAAAATAACTAGCTACATACTACTAATTCTGATTATAAAATACGCATGGAATTTCTGCTGAAACCATGAAGTATAAGGTCACTGAGAAACCTTATATAACAGATGGATATGAGGACCACCTCCAGCTATTCATCAACCTTAATATCACTAATAGTAAGATAATCAGATGTTATGTCCCTCCAATACAATGCAACAGGAAACACGCCATGACCTGTGAGGTGTATGTTCCAAAATATAATTGAACCTTGCCAGGCCTGGTGGCACACACATGTAATCCCAGCACTGATTACAGTGGTTGAGGCAGGAGGATTGCTGAGTTTGAGGCCAGCCTGGGCTACATAGTGAGTGAAGTCTAAACTACATAGTGAAACCATGTCTCAAAAAAGCTAAAAAAACAAAACAAGCAAAAAAAGAACCTGAATTTAATTAAGCCTCTAGTTCTAACACACCTAAAATGTACAGAAAATACAAAGAATACCATATATAACCAAATGTAAAGAATCTGCTTTCTTCAACAAATAGCATTTTTTTAATGTTCATAATTGTTAAAATTGGGTGACTGAGTACATAGAATGTTACACTATTCTTTTTACTCTGGTATATGTTTGAGATTTTCCATTAAATGTGTTTCAAAAACAAAGAAATATGATCTAATCTATTTTAACTGGCACGTATTCAAAAGCACCCATAAAACAAAAATAGCCTTAAGGTACTAACATGAGTAATACACTCATGAAAAAGAACAAACGACAGGGAGCAGGCATGGGGGTGAATTCCTGTAATCCAGCTACTCTGGAGGCTGGAGTAAGAAGATCCAAGTTCAAGGCATGTCTCCGAATGAAATAACAAGGGATGGAGATGTAACTAAGTGGTACAGTATTTGCCTACCATGCTTAAGGACCTGGGTTCAATCTCCAACACCACCAATAATAATAACAACAACAACAACAATACACAACACACATCAGGTAACTGGGATAAAGTAGCTAGCACTGAAATGAGGGGAAAATGTTAACATTCTTCATTTATACATAGGCAAAAATTAATTAGGCCTGTTGATGGAGCTCAGCTGGTATACAAGACCCTGTATTCAATGCCTAGGACCTCAAAATAAAAAATTGTATGTGGTTATAAACATGTGCTTAAATGTTACCCTGAAGATTTTTTTTTTGGTGCCAGGGATCGAACTCAGGTCCTTGTGCTTGTGCAGCAGGCGGCAAAACCACTGAGTTAAATCCCTGGCCCACCCTGAAGATTTTTTAATATATGAAAGTCCCTCACTCAAATGCTTTCATTTTTCATTTTTTTCTTAAAATGCAACATGTGTGCAATCATAACAAACCAAAAACTTAATACTCATGACTCAACGTCTCAAGGATGCTTACTTTTTATCCCCCCAAAAAGTACCGATATAGCAAAACTCAAGAAAGTGCCATTTATGTGGCTTCAAACTTCAGCAACTGCCCTCAAAAGCTGATTTTTTAAAAGATAACTTCCAATCCTCTAACCACATAATAGTTATGTATGGGAAAAAATACAAAGTCATTTTTAAAACAGAAGTATTAAAAACTTAGATCTCATGCACGTTCAAAACAAAGTTATTAAAATGTGTGCTCTCCCAGAAGAGTTAGGTAAGCAAGATGAGGGTTGGGGACAGAAACGTGAGTTACACCAGGAAAGGTGCAAGGCATCCCCTGCAGGATGCCCTGGAGCAGCCCAGTGACTACAGGCCAGGCACAGAGGCTGACTGTCCAGATGGCAGCCGCGAAGGCACACTGGCCAGACGACTTGCAGGCTGCTCCCCCAGGGTTCCAGCCGCCACTGCGCTACTTACCGACCTGAGCACACGCTGCTCACGAGCCTGGCCCCCATCCCAACTGCACTCGGTCTGTCTGGACTCTGTCATGGCAACATTCCCGCTCTCCGGTCCACCACCCATTCTCTACCACCCGGATCAGCTGCTCCAACTACTCCTAAAACTCTGAGGTGGGCTAAAGCAAGCTCAGAAGCAAAGAACACCGAGCAGCCCATGCTCTGACAACTCTCCTGCCCAATCTGCAGCACCGGCCCTGCTCTGCCCACCCAGTGGTCCAGGCCGTGTGGAGCCCTGCGTTCCCAGGACTCACACTGACTGCCCCAGCAGGGCTGCTGTAAACTCCCAGCCACACCGGAGCCAGACAGGTGCCCCACCGAACTACCCAGCTCACATTCTCCTGGAGCCTTCATCTGAAAGCCGAGATTTTGTACCATCCTTACAATAGCTTGGTCTTTCAAAACTTGAATACCAGGCCGGGGATTTAGCTCAGTGGTTCCACCGCCTGCCTCGCAAGCTCAAGGTCTCAAGTTTGATCCCCGATACCAAAAAAAAAGAAAACTTGAATACCAATTGTTGTAGGCTACAATGCTAAATGAAAAACCAGTAAAGAAAAACAAGGGAATGATCAATACAAAACTCAGGACAGAGACAGGCAGGTCTGCGGACGCCATACCAAGGTAGCGAGTCGCGCAGAACATGCCGAATCAGCCCGCGCCCCGGCAGCAATCCACTGGACACCCCCCTACCCCGCCCCCTCCTCTGGCCTCTTCTCTGTACAGCCACCTGGTTCCACACTACAAAGACACAGAGGACACCGGACCACCGGACCACTGTACTGGATAAGTTGGAGTCATCTTCACCTCCCATCAGGACCGGGACTATCTTCAGGGGAAGGGCAGCTGGAACCTGCAATACAACTCTGCAGAGTTCAACCCTACAGGAGGACAGGGAGCTCAACTTGGGACTTGCAGCCAGAAATCTGCCTGAATCTCACGGGTCTGTGACTAGTTTGCTGAGACTCATTGACTTATATCTGCACACTACTACCCACGTTGTCTATTGTGACAGCAGAGACATACCCTGAAAGGGGCCCTTCATCTTCATTGTTATTTTTTTATTCCCAAAATTAGTATTATTAGTTTGTTTTTCTCTTTTCTTTTCCTTTGCTCCTCTTATCTTTAACTTTTTTTCCTACTCTTTGCAAATATTTGTTTTTCTCTCCTTTTTTTTCTTTTCTTTTCTTCTTTCTTTTCTCTTTCCTTTCTCTCTCTCTTACACTCACTCTCTTGCTCTCCCACACTGTTCATCCTCCCTTTTTGTCCCTGTTTTGGTCCTCATTCGGAGTTCTTCTTTATTTTCCTATTATTCTCTTTTTTCTTCTCACCTGTGTCCTCTGGCCACACTGCTAACCTTCCCCTATCCTTCTTCCCATCTGTCCCTCCCTCCTCAACCCCTTCTAACTTTCCATCCCAAAGGGTAAAGTTGTTATATTGAAAAGTTTACTCACTATATGTTGGGTTGGTCCTCGATCTTGATTTAATTCACACAGCTAAAGGTGATAGATTAATAACTATCACAAAATGTCATTTTCAAAGATGTACTTGATGCAGTGGTGTTGCTGATTGTATCACTTGGGCTAAGGTGTTGTTATTGATCTAGTCAATGAACTTTCCTAGTATAAGGAAAATGAGATAGCCTTAGAGTCATTAGAGACTCAAAACTTAAAGACCAGCTATATCTGGAAGACACCTCTGAGAAGCAATCGTTCCATAAGGGTTCTAATTACAAGCAACAAAGATACCTATAATAAGCAATTTCAAACTATCAACCCAGGAGTTAAACCAAGGACGGTACCAAAAAACAAAAATGAGAAGACATTTAAGCAAGGCACAAACTCAGACTTCCACCCCACCAAGGGTAAATCCTGGGGGAAATGAGATGGAAAAGTCCCATAACCAACCACCTGGATACCCTGAACTGATAGCACAGGAAGTAACAAAACAGATGAATGAGGCTCTAGAAAAATTCAAAGCAGAAATAATCTCCCAGATATCTACAGAGATGGTGAGCAGAGTAAAAGACATGATTAGAGGATCTAGAACAGAAACAGATAAAAAATAGATGAGCTCAGAAACATGCTGGAAGCCATGAATACCCAGCATAAGAAAGAAATGGAAACCATGATCGCCCAACATAAGAAAGAAATGGAATCCATGAAATAGATTCAAACAGATATTCAGGAGATCAAAAACTCCACTGAAAGTATCCACAGCAGATTAAAGGAATCTGAAGATAGAATATCAGATATAGAAGACAGGATCTCGGTTAGAGACCATGACAACAGAGAAATCAATCCAACAACTGCTAGACGATGCAAAGAAGAATAACATAAGACTGATAGGAGTCCGTGAAAAAACAGGAGAAAGCACAATTGACATAAAAAAACTGTTCACAGAAGTAATAGTGGAAAACTTCCCAGACAGAGTTAGAGAATTGGACATAAAGATAAGTGAGGCATCTAGAACTCCAACTAGCCATGATCAAAAAAAATCTACATCTAGACATATAATAGTCTAGATCCCAGAAACCCAACAGAAAAACAAAACTCAGGACATTAGTTACCTTGGGGATAGGTGTTGAAACTAGGCCAGGACACAAAGAAAGCTTTTAAAGGTACTTAGTCTACTTCTTAATCTGGAGGACAAAATGCTCATTTTACTACTTAAGCTCTCAGTCATGCATTCAGTGAGGCAGGACTGGTGGGAAGGGAAGGCTGCTCACTGTGAAGGTGCCTGGGGAGGAGCAGAGTGGGGGGTTAGCACCAGATTATCACCCCGGGGCTTATCCTTCCCTAAGCTGATCTGTCACATCCCTAACTAGCTGTCAGGCAACATGAACACTGTTGGTCTACACACCACACTACATTCTCACACTACATTTCATCTGTCTCTCTCCCTTAATGAGAATACAGGCTTCAGGAGGGGAGGATCTCTGCCTTCTTTGCTTTTTGCAACATCTCTAATACTTGAAACAGAACCATGCACAGAAGAAGCGACCAATACATTTTTTAATGCAAAAAGGCAAAAGTCTGTTTCCTTAATAAGAATTAAAATTTTTGGTTTGTTTTTTGTTTTGGGTGGTACTGAGGATTGAACCCAGGGCCTCACTCGGGCTAGGCAAGGACTCTACCATTATGCTATATCCTCAGCCCTTTTTTTTCAAGACAGTCTCATTAGGTTGCCCAGGGCTTGAACTTGTAATCATCCTGCCTCAGCCTCCCAAGTAACTGGGATTACAGACATGTGCTATCACACCTGGCAAAAATGAAGTACTTAAAATCACTAAAATACATCTGACTTCCAAATATTAAAATACATTATTTAAAATGAAATCAATAGAATTACTGTGAATTTTAAAAATTATTTGGAAAAATGTTCAAATCTTAAATGTAAAAGTATGTACATGGGGGCCAAGGATTTAGCTCAGTGGTTCCACTGCCTGCCTCGAAAGTGCAAGGTCTCAAGTTCAATCCCCAGTACCAAAAAAAGAGTATGCACATGGGCCGGGGATGTAGCTCCAAGGAGATGTGGTACCTCGCCTGCCTGCCAAGCTCAAGATCCTGAGTTCAATTCCCAGTACTGAAAAAAATAAGAAACTAAAAAAACCCCAGAAGTATGTACAGTCAGGCATGGTGGCACATACCTTCAATCCCAGCACTCAGGAGGCTGAGGCAGGAGGACTGCCATGAGCTCAAGGCCAGCCTGGGCTACACAATGACACCTCGTCTCAAAAAAAAGAAAAAGAAAGAAAAGTATGTACAAAGTACCAGTTTGTACAAGAGACTTTCAAACTCCTGTGAAGAGGTTCTCAGACAATACACACTTTAAAATCATCATTTTTATTTTTCAAAGAGTTAACAAGGGGCCAGGGATTTACCTCAGCGGTTCCACCACCTGCCTCCCAAGCGCAAAGACCCGAGTTCAATTCTCGGTACCAAAAAAAACAGAGTTAACAAGGAACAATGTTGATGACACCTAAGTCTCCAATGTGAAGTGCTACTCACTTCAGGCCACCTCGCATGTAGCACACAGCATAGAACACACTCAACAATATTTGTTGACTGAATCAATGAACAAATAACCAGTCAAAAGAACACAACATTCAAAATAAATACAACCAACAACTCACTGACCCCACTCAGCCAAACATGCCACACAAAACTCCCTTCAGAGTAACTGCTAGGCCTAACTGCTAGGCCCGACTGCAGCGGCCTTCCACACAGCCTGGCTCACCAGGAAGCTGAAATAGCGGGGCTACAGCTCAGTGGTAGAGTGCTTGCCTAGTACAGCAAGGCCTTCAGTTTGGTCTCCAGCCAAACTGGAAAAAAAAAAAAAAAAGGAGTTGCCTATTGTCCCTCTGAAATAGGTCTCTGGGTGAATGGAATATAAAACAAGTTAACTAAACTGATTTTTTTTTTTAAATGCAGTGCTAGGCATATGCTCTACCACTGAGCTACTCCCTCAAATGAAATTTTAGCAGCATGGAAGTCAAGAGCATAAAGTGTTACTTAGGGAGGCCTGACCCAAGTAGGGTGTTCAGGAAAGCATTCTGAGCCACAAAACATCAACAGTTACAAAAATACAGGAACTATCTGTTTTCTTCCAGGAAAGAGAAGGGGGTGAGGTGAGAGAGGAGAGAGGGAAGGAGAGAGGGAGGGAGGGAGGGAGGGAGAGAGGGA